TGAGTGTGAGTGGCGAAATTATCGCAGCAAAGTAATTAATATTAAGCTTTACTCGTTACAACGTTTGCTTCATTTCGTCGGAAGTGTTTAGACGGTTATACGGAAAACAGTTCTCTGATGAACTCTTAGCTAACGCTTGATATCTTCATTTACATTTCCTTTCTTTTCAGAACTAATCCGAGTTCAGTGTCTGCCTATCTCAAGATTCTATCTTCATCTGCCTGCGGTTCTTTTGTATCTAGAAATTAATCTGCTGATGCTTACGTTAATATTCCTGTTTGCCACGCGCGTCCACTGCTTTGTGGGCATCGACTGAATGACCGTCATTAGTTTTACGGTCAGTTTTGGGGCTTACTTGAATTCATTTGCCGTCTCTAATTAAAATTTTTATAAACCATTTCTCTTTGATGTGTGTGTTCTATTATTAAATTTGTATTTCGGGTTGTGCGTTCACTTCTCAAATACTTGATTTTTTTAGCTTGGAAACTATCGCTATTCGATATGTTAGTGCTTTTTACAAATTATTATCATTTAAATGCGGGGAGCCAAAATTATTTGATGTGTGCGTTATTCTACTAACATTTTTGCTCTGGTAGACTTGAAAATAATCTCCTTGGATGTTTTACTTTTTATCTTGCCTTCTGTTTTAGAAATCTTGTGGCCAAACAGCCTTCGTTTGTGTGTGGCTCGTAGGAGAGATTGGTGTCCTGGGGTCAAATCCTGGCTGAGACCCGAGCTTCATAACTCTTCTAATTGTACGGCGACTCTAAGATACCCATGCCTTCGTGCATATTAATGAACTACCAGTTCACTGCACCTCTTAGTTTTGAACAGAATTTAGTTTTTGAGCAAAAAATTGTACTTTTAATGTGATAGACCAGAAGACGCTGAATGTGCTCCTAACTGTTCTGCAATGGCAACAAATTTATATTCATTGCAAGCGCTACAAGTCAAAGAATGATCCCTTCACACATTAAGTTCATTATAATTATTTTCAGTATGATTAATTTGCATTTTTTCGTGACACATGAAATTTCAATTTTTGTTCGAACATAGTACTTTATGTTAAGTGTAATTTCATAGGTAATTTCTAGATTCATTTCTATTAAGTAAGAATCGCTGGTATCCAGACATTTTTTTCATTTATACTTCACGAAAGTAACAGCATGTGCGAATTTGGATCAATTTGTTGGTCAGGTAGGCCTGTGCTGAATTTAGTTCTTCTAAATGGATACCTACGATGTCAGGGAGTTACTATCTAACTTGTTAAGGCATACATAGCGGCCTATAAGAACGCGAAGCGACCTTAGTACACGTAAGCGACCTATAGGTACACGTATATAGCGGCCTAGGTACACGAAGCGGCCTAAGTACACGTAGCGGCCTAGGTACACGTAACGGGTGATTTCTCGTCTGTGATTGGTGGGTTTAGCTTGGGAAGCCGTCAATGATTGGCTGAATTATTTACAAATTCGTAACTATTTTGATATTATGTCCCCTGAACCGCGCTGTTGCAGCTCTGTAGTTAGTTAGGCCCACTATCCACGTAGCCCGCATACATCCAGAGAAATAAGTGTGACTTTGTCCGAATATCGATCCACTTTAGCCCTTGTGGGAGTCATCCTGACCTTAAAGCGCGTATCAGTGCTACGTTCGCTTTATGTTCGTGATGTGGATAAGAAAGTGTGTCATTACCCATTCATTTTTATGAGTGCGCGTGACCTCAGACGTGACCTACCAGCCCCAGGGCGGAGACGAGCGACCCTCTCACGCTCCTCATTAGCATTAAATGCTCGTAGATATTTGCTTATTTCACATGTCTGGTTATTAAATATTTTTCGGTCGGTCATAAACATCAAGTAGGAATTCCTGCTATCAATTTAATGTCGTTTAATATTCATAATTTTTTAAGGTATGCTGCCGGGTTCATCCCGCTCATTCCCGTCAGCATGAAATAAAATGCTTTAAAAATTACCTTGTCAGGATCTGTGACTTAATAAGTGGACGTTTATCTTTATCCTGTTATTTTATTTGCAATTTTGACTCTCTATCGTTCACTTACTTTCCTATACCTTATATACCATGTTACCTATACCTGCACTGACTCCGCATGTTCTTACACTGTCATATTCGTTGAATCATTTTACCACAATTATTTTCTCAACGCCGTTTATTTTTAGTAAATTAAAAGATACACAAACATTTTTTAGAAATCTAAACTCGGAAGCTGATAACTCGTAAATCAATGTCCATCTCGAGGTAATTTTTCATGCCTCCTTGATTTTTTTTATACTTTATTTCAAGATTTGCGTTGTCAGAATCACCTCTCAGCCTCATTAAATTAAATATGTCATGATGCACATCTAAAAGCGAAGACTTCACTGCCGTAATCTGTCTGAGGTAAGCAGCGACGTCTCAGTGCGCGTGTGGTACTATCAATTGCTGTGTCGAGAACGCATTGCCTATCATTCCTCGCACCGCAGACAAAATGATGCCATAAAACAATCATCACTCGTAAAACGATGTGATTCGTAGTCATCATTGCTCGTCATTACATGCAAGTGCCTTTGGGAAGTTACTGCGGTGCTCTGTGGTTAGGATGAATGACTTTTGTGGTTCATTCGCTAACTCAGCAACCTGCGTAAAATATTTTTTTACTGTCACAGGTGTTGTCGTGATAAACAAGTAATAACACTAATAATATAACATAATTACATTAATAATACATCGGTGGCATCTGATCAACAACCGTATCTCAAGCTTTGATGAGATACGGTTGGTGTTCAATCCGCTGTATAAGAGCTCGCGAAGTATTTTTAATCTTTTAAGAATATTTTTTTAATATTAGTTGCACCCGTGTTGCCAATACATACCACATTTATACTAATGTCCTTACAATGAGTCAAAAACGCTGTTTTTACTGAATGATCTAAAAAATTCTTATGTTTTAAAAATGTTATTCGCCTGCCAAGAAGATCGTAGACTTGGAGTGTATTTGTGGTACTAAACTACCCACAATCCTCTTCCGCACATCATCCCCTGTGGCGCAAACGTGCTGTGGTTATCCCGCAACTCTGGATGTGTACGCACAATGACTCGTTTCCTCGCTATCGCCTCGAGATCGCGCCCACGGTGCTGCTCTACTTGACCCGATATCACGGTCGAGATCATGCGCGCACGATAGCTCAGACCTGAAGCATTAATTGGGGCTGTACGGTGTATGTTAATGCAAGTTATGATAGCATCACGAGCAACCATTTATCACAATGTCTCTGGCCATCAAACATCTGCCATAAATTTTAGGTCTAGATTATAATGAATTTTGTTTATTATTAATATAACGATTTGTTATTATGAAGTCTCCGCGTAAATTGTTGGTTTTCACAAGGAACACAATAATGTGGAGTGTCTAGATTTCAAAAAGATTGCCGCAAAACTCTTATTTCATTTTTGCAAGGTTTTTAGTAGAATACTTGCAACTGTGAATGTGCAAGGTGCGAAATTTTTTAAATTAGAAGTTGAAGTACCTGTGAGCATCTATTATAGTTGATTAAACCGAGAAATCAAAATTGAATATTATTTTTATATAACAAATTTAACTAAAATTTCTATCGTTGAGGATTGTTTACGAAAATTTTTGGTTTGTAATCATATACTATGCGCTGAACTTAACTAACCAGTCAAATTTTGAGATTTTGTTGATTCGTCTATATGGTCCGTCTGTAAATGCATCGAAATGTTAACGGACCCATGGAATATTACTCGTCTAGGAACACTAAATTCACTCCAACTACGTGCGTGCTTGCAACCACGAATGCATATGTAGCACACATGCATACTGGATGTTGTTGCTGCAGGAAGTCACGAGATGACGAGAATAATTTTTTTTTATGTCGCTGACTTGAATTGTTGCAATAGGAGCACATGCAGCACACAACAGTGGCCCATTGGCGGCTCATGTGTGCTAGCAAAACCTGGGCTATTGGATTTCTTCCTTTCATGGACAAAATCCTTTGTGATAAGCTCCCCTATTGTAGTTCCGACCACTGTTGGCTCTGGCAGCTGATGACTCATGTGTCATTCACTGTGAGCTGAACGGGGCCATTCATTTTTTGTAACGAGAGCAGCGTATGCTTTGGCCGACCGTCAGCCAGCTTTTGGCCACCTGTAAACCGCCTGTAATTTTTAACTGTGATAAGCACCATCGAACACACCTATTATTCTCGATGATAATAGCAAACTGTGTTATTTTTGTTCGAAGGATTTAATTGAACCCCAAGTGTTTCCGGGAATTTAATTCCTTACATCCGGACGGATTGTTGTATTTATATATCCGGAATGTATTCAATCATTTCGAATTATGCAGCGAGTATGGCAGGTTAATCGTTCATACATGTATATGCCAAGTATGACTGAATTATTAGGAAGATAATCCTTGATAAATCCTCATTTGAACTGAATTATTCAGAAAATAATCCACGAAAAATCCTAATTTGGACTTTGATAATATGTCGGTTTGAAATTTGCTAATTCACATTATTTGCTTTTAAGCTGATCCAAAAGTTCCACAGAATAATATCAATGTAAAAGTTATTAAATAAATGTATTTCTGCTATGTGAATACAATTGTCATAAATAAGTTTTAAAAATATAATTGTATTAAAAACGCTTATTTAAAGATAAACTTACTGAATTTCCCTTTTAAATCTTGAAATTGTATCTTTTGCTTAGGTACTATCAAATTAATATTGAAACGATTAAGTTTTATTGAAAGACGGTACGGTACATTCTTCAGTTCTGAGCTTAGCTAAGTACAGTGATCGCTCTGGGGGTCTGGCCTGATTTTAAAATTTTTGTATTGCTGTGCAAGTAGATGTTCTTCCTTCCTATTTCGTAATATTCCTGCGTCTGTTATAGATTTTTATTTTGCTTATACTTCCTTTTGATTTAATGTATACATTATATTTAATATTATAAATGCATTATATTTCTGTGTGCAGGAGAGACTGCTTGCTACTTCCCAGTGGAGTACCAGGGGGTGTTCGAGACGCAGTCCGCAACCACGGACGCTAAGCTTCACAAATATTCCTCCGTGAGTTGCTTAACTCGTTTAATATCTGTTTCTTTTGCAACTGTGATTTTTTTTAAATTTTATTCACGATAAAGTCGCGATGTTTTGTTTAGGAGAGTAGAGTTTCATGTTAGTAGAGTTTACTCGTTTTATATTACTCAATCTCTTGACCACTCATGAATGCAAGTGCTTCATGCCTCTGAATGCAAGTTTTTGGAGTGGATTAGATGTTGTGTGTACTTTCATATTTAGTATGTCCATTCACTTTACTGTCAAAGTTCAGCTAAAAATCCCGTCAGACTAATCGATCCAATAGACCGCAATCGTTACAGTCTACGTAATTTCAGATATACTGCTATATATGCTCCTATTTTATAATAAGTTTTATTATTTTATAATATCACCGTCACGCTCTTGGATCTGCACAGATCACGATTCTGCCAGACGCGATCCCTGGTTGGGGCGTGTGTAAGAGCAGACACGGCTTGTCCGTAGTGCTGCACGACCGGACTACTGGCCGTGACTGCTTCAGATGCTTTCATGTCTTGCTACGGTCCCCCAACGTCATTCAGGTATATTAGATAATGCTTGCTCGCCACCTGTAAGGAACATTATAGCGGTAAATTTTATACAATGAAGTCTGACCAGCTGTTTAATAGGTAAATACAATAATGCTTGCTCTCCATCTATAACTTATAAGGAATGTTATAGCGGTAAATTTTAAACAAAAAGGTCTGACCAGCTGTTTGGTAGGTAAATACAATAATGCTTGCTCTCCATCTATAAGGAATGCTATAACGGTAAATTTTATACAATAAGGTCTGACCAGCTGTTTAGTAGGTAAATACAATAATGCTTGCTCTCCATCTATAAGAAACGTTATAACGGCAAATTTTAAACAATAAAGTCTGACCAGCTGTTTAGTAGGTAAATACGATAATGCTTGCTCTCCATCTGTAAGGAACGCCACATCGGTAAATTTCATATAATAAGGTCTAACCAGCTGTTTAGTAGGTAAATACAATAATGCTTGCTATCCATCTGTTGTGAACGTCATCAAGGCAAGTTAAATACTATAAGGACTCACCTGCTACCTGTGATCCAAACCCACGCGTGTGGTGTATACGCTCTTTTTCTTTCGAGGTTCAACAATGAGATTAAAACGGAAAATATCGTTCTGTTCCTCTGGCTGTCTAAAATCATTTTGAAAGCTAATCTTTGGTATATAACGTGAAGACTTTCAGCTTTTTTATATAAGATGAAACTGTTGGTATGTTCCTCTTGGTATGAAGGATACGGAAGAAACATAAAGTATAAATAGGACGGATGGTTTTCCTTTTATTGCACGTTCCCATTACACGTTTTGCTTGTCGTCATTTACTGTTGGTGGGGATCATCCAAAAATCCGCATCAACTCATGAACTTTCTCATAAATTATCGTGGAATTCTCACAACTGTAAAAAGTTACGTCGTTTTGAGCGTCCGCCAAACTTTTTCGTTGTTCATACAAACCTGAGTCGGAGTGGTTTTTTACAATTCTGTTTTTCAAATCCGTGGATAGAAAGCCAATGAACTTTGTGAACTTTCCCACTCGTTACCTGTGAGGAAAAAAAGGAGCTGGCCGCTCTGCGGCTGAGCAGCCGGTAACTCGAATCGAATTGCTTAAAAAAAAGATGAAGAAAGCCGCATAAACTTGGCGCAACGGTTGACGTAGTTTGAACTCGCCATGGGACGTGTGCTCGGTTCCACCCTGCAGTTATCTCCTTATCTCGACCCTTCATCTACAAGAGGTCAACCTCAACATGCGTCGCGCCGGCCATGCTTTCAATGATTGACTGCACCCCGGCATGGAAGATGTATGAGTACATTTGCAGGCCTCGCTTGTGTGCGCAATGCACTTCAACTTCACTTTGTTCCCTTAGAAAAATTGGTACCTGAGATTTTAGATCAATTGATACGAAGCTGTGTGTTAATTAAGACTTGGCACATTGTACTGTCTGCACACTTTCTGAATGGTTTTCTGAAATATGTTTGTAACGACGACTAATAAAAAATAGTCATTAACTAAATGGTTTTCAAGATCGAAGAACATATGTAAGATCAGATTACAAGTTAGACCTCGATATTATAACGTAATTTATTGATAATGCTTCAGCCCACATACTGATAGAAATTCTTTAGATGATTAATCATGCCTTGCAAATTCGTAGAGAAACTCAAGTCTCAGGCGATCTTGGTGTCTTCAAGTTAATGTTACGATTGAGATAAGCACTTTATTCTGTAAATCAATTATGAAAGAAACTAAACCTTATACTTGATTTAGTTTATCAATCAGTTATTAATAAAGAAATTTTTTCTACTCAGGTCTACACAGAACCGTCGAGCCAGTGCTACCAGAACGAAGTGTCAGCGCGAGCCTCGTGCCCGTCTGAGCTCGACATCTCGACGCAGCGCGTGAACGAGATCATGCTTTACAGTCAGTAAAACATGCTCTTATTTTACTGAAGTTTTCCTCGTATAGTTTCTTTACTGTTATTGTTTTATGTTCATATTTTACTGGTGTATCCTTTTTAAAGTTTCGTTACTGTATTATTTCAGGAACTTATAGTACTGACGTATTTTCTGTCTAGTCTCTTTATTGTTATTGTGTCGTGTGAAAATGTTACTGACTTCGTTCCCATTTAGTTTTCTTTCCTTTATGGTTTGATATTGTTATCGCCGCTGGCTGATTTGTGCTCCTGAATTACTATCATGTGCTATACCTATAATGAGAAGTTAGATTTATTTTAAAACTATGCAATTTTACGAACACTTCACGGTTCTTTGATAAAGTGGCTGATGAGATATGAGTATGCATTTATTTAAACCTAATCAACAGTCTCTGAATCCCGTTTTCATTCTGGCCGATTTTTTTAACGCGTCGTTCATGGATTATCGAAAATCATTCGGTTTATTTCTTCATTTTTTCACAGAAAACAAGACCTTCACTTTCGAAGGCACAATCGAGCGTGTGTTCTGCCCTATCAACGGCGCTTACGACTTCACGTACGACGTCAACGACGGACTGGAAACGGTCAATGAATGTCCACAGTCTACGTCAGCGCTCCAAAACTGTCCTCGGGGCTCCGAACTCAGCCTCAAGTGCGTGTTCATATTTGCACCGCTTTAAAATTAAAATTATTTAGCGATCATTTGTCTGAGGTGCTACCGTGCTTCTTGTTATTTGCTTCGTTTTAGAATTGAAAATATTTAGCGATCATTTGCTTCAAGTGCGTGTTGATATTTACTCTACTTCAAAATTTAAATTATTAAGTCCAAGCGCTGAAAACTATTTGGTTGATCATCAGTGTACATTTAAAGTTGAACCTCCAAACGACGACTGTAGTACATATTAGCTTTTCTCGTTTTCTAAATGGTAATGAATTTGTATCGAACTTACTATTGCTAGTAATGTCTGAACTCGTTAGGAACCATCGCAGGCTTCGCAAAAATCAATACTTTTATAATAATTGGCTAATTGAATTACGTCCCCTGTCTGTATATAGCAATGTTGTACGTTTAAAAAATTATGCGTACATGTCGCGATTCTCATTTTTGCAAGAGGGGGATCTCGTCTTCGGTTTAGAGTTTAAGAGGCTCGTGTCGAGCTCAGCCTTATTCGGCGCAACACCAATTACCGTGGTTCAGTCTGCGCCTGACGTGAATGGCCTCGAAGAACTTAGTGCTCATCAATTGTGTCGTGTCTCATACTTTCCTCGAGGTGATCTCGACTCGAGCGTCGTACATCTCGTGGACACTAGACATGACATTCATTCGCCAAAAGCATCCATGTCTCATGATTCTTTCGGCGTTTTCTGAAGAAATTTATACTCAAATGTGTCACTCAATTCCAGCGTATTTAAATTAATGAAACCCTTCACGTATCATCGATTGTAAGATTCAATTGTAAAATGGATTAGTAACGTTGTTGCTGAGTTGAGATATGTGCTGAGTGGGTGCTAAGACAGAATGGCGTCTTAATTAAATCGTGCCGGGTGATTCATGTACTAATGACACTGAACTGAGTTAAGAATTTCATAAACAAGAAGTGCCAATGCTAAAAAATGAAGAACTGATCACAACTGATGACACATACGAGTTACGACACTCTTTTTATATCCGTTGAATAATATTCTTGCGCAAGTCTTCGCTGTTACTGTTATCTTAAATACCTCTATAGAAAATTTTAAAACAGTTACTGAAACCATAGCAATTCTTGTAATTTCCAAAGATTCATGCCCCACAATAGCACCCATTTTAATTTTCCGAAACATAATATGCCAAATTACTCACAAATTTTTCATATTATCGCAGCTTCCAGCGGTGCACATTTTCGGACGTGCAAATGAGCTTGCGGTGCCTGGGCGACTGGCCGGGGCGGGACGGCGCGCGCTACCTCGCGCTGCTCGACACCTCGCCTCAGAGCCCGGACCAGCCCAGATACAGATGCGCTGTTAGTGTACAACTGAAGAATTAAACGATTAAACTTATATTCATTATTAGTTGATTGTACTCGACATATTACTAAACGATTGTACTCGACATATTACTAAACGATTGTACTCGACATATTACTAAACGATTGTACTCGATTTATTATCAAACAAATGTATTCGATGACTTGTTTAACGATTTCAATCGCCTGACTTATACGATGATAAACATTAGAACAATTATAATATTATAACTATTAAACGATGATAACCTACTGAAACGATTAACGATCATGACACCTCTGATAGCAACTAACATACCTTTCTTATCATAGATGTACATCGAGGACGAAACAACGGGAGTGATCAACCTAAGTTTCAGCGTTGACGCGACCTGCAACAACCAACTGAAGTCGCCGTATCAAGGATACGAGACGATGGTGCTCACCCCGCGCGCTGTCGTCCAACCCCCCAACGAAGTCAAGAGTCACGCTTGCGTCTTCCCTGACTGGGCGCGTGGCAAGTGGCAAAATCTAGAGGTGATTATCTCGCTCTTTATTTCATATGTTTTTTTTCAATTGTTATCTGTAAAATCGTTCCCGGTTTTACCTTTCCGAATCTTGTAACTTCAAAACTGCTCAGCGTTTCTGGCTTTAATTGCTTACAGCTTAGCATTGAATAATTCCGTCATGACAATTTATCAATATTAACGTATTCAACAAACTAAATCAGTCAAGGTCTTTATTCCCAATGGCTTGGAACATTCATAATCGCACAATATTTGCCCACAGATTCTGCGTCACGACGTGCGGCTCAAAGACAAGACCTCAGACCGAGTCTTCCAGATGGAGTGTCTCTCTCAGCACGCGCCACACGGGGAGCGATATGCCGTCTTCGCCAGGGATCAGTGGTGAGCAAACTGCAGGCTGCTAAACATCGATGAATTCTTTGTAGTTGCGATACATATGATAAATTATGACATATTAAGTATGATGAATTATGAAGTTACGATAAGTTATAAGAGATATAAGATATCATATATATTATAATATATAATAAATATGATATGTATATAAGTTATATTATTATCATAAGATAAGATGAGTTATGAAGTTATGATAAGTTAAATTACAAATTTTCTCGAAAGAGAGTTGATTACATGTATAAATTTACTGGTGAAATATTGTATGTACATAACGAGAAGATTGATGAGGCTACCCCGGAACGAACAGGATAACATGGCCCACGCTCGCCATTTTTGGTAATCGATTTATTGTTTCATTGCAGCGGCCGGGAAGAGTTCACCTGCATTTGGATTAAGAAGAGAGCTGTTAATGTCATCGAATTCCAAATGTGTGAGTGAAATAGGCCGAGGTTCCGAAAATAATTACTCCGAAATACACTGGAATTTTTATCTTGTACTTTTTCCGCATTTCTCTCCCTCGACACATTTTCAGTAGTTAAGAGACGATAAGTTTAACTAAGAGTCTAAGTCTATTAACCAGGGTACTTGAATGACCTTAATTGGAAATAAAATTATTTTATATATGACCAAAAATTTTGCGAATATTTCAAACTTTTTTGGGCATTTCGTTACTTTATATATTTTTCGGCATTTATATTCCATTTTCTGATACGCTCAGCTAGTCTAATAACTCAACATGCATATCAGTAAATTTCAACTGAGTAGAAATGTTTTTATCGTTTAAATTGCATTACAGCAAACTACCCGAGCGATCACTACAACCAGTCGCAGGTGTGTGCCGACGCCATGTTTGTCGGCCAGCATTGGAGCACTGAAGGACGTGAGTTAATTCTAGCTATCTTATCGTTCGGTTCTATTTTGTACACAGTTAAGAAAACGTGCTGATAAAAAAATTGAAATAGTTGAAATTAAGCTGCGTTTGACTTGATTTGAAGTGTTTCTTAAGTGTTTAGTATTATTTGAGGTCTATCTACATGCGATTAATTTCAAATTTGAAATTAGGAGATTTAAGGGTATTATGCTTTTACAATAATTTGGAGCGTTTTTCACTTTTGAAGTAAAGTCTGAACTCTATTTACATGCAATCATTCCCGAAATATGCAATCATGATATTATTTACATGCAATCATTTCCGTAATTGAGTCATTTATGAGTATCAGTATTCAAATTCATTAGTATTCAGCATTGAAAATAACTGTAAGCTCATATTCTGCAGGCGTCGGTGAGCACGAGGTTCCCTCGTGTCCTATACAAGGCGAGCACAGCGGCGTCCTGCCCGACGCTACAGATCTCTGCGCCAAGCTCGTCTCAGACTGCAGCTCCCCACAGCGCATGCATTACACAGTCGCGTCTTGCTCCAATTCTTCGGAGGTTTATGAAGGTATGTTGTAACTATGCTCGTAAATAGTGGTGGTTAGTTTTTATGATGAATAAGATATGAAGGTATCTTATACCTATGCCTGTGAATAGTGGTGGTTAGTTTCTATGATAAATAAGATATGAAGGTATCTTATAACTATGCTCGTAAATAGTGGTGGTTAGTTTTTTTATGAGAGATAAGATATGAAAATAGGTTATAAGTATGCTCGTTAATCGTTTTATTAGTTTTTATGACATATAAGATATGAAGGTACGTTAAAAATATGTTCGTTGTTTGTACGGTGTATAGTTTATATGGAGGATAAGAAGGATTGAAAATGTCTCATGTGGCAGGTTGTTGAAGGTATGTTACTATCATGTTCGTAGTGTGAGGGTTGAACCGAGAATAGGAGGAATGAATAGTTTGTATGGTGGATAATAAGGGTTAAGGGTTGTGAGGGATAAAGGTTTAATGTGACAGATTTTTTGGAAGTAACATTGTTGCATGTTCCATCTGTCGATTCTGTTTTTCTCGTGATATATTGAATTCGTATGCAGTCTGAATGATAAGGTGTCAACGGTATTTATCTTCACTGTAGGTATCTTTCAGGAACTTTTTCTTATAATACCGTAGTAGTTACCACTAAGTTAAATGAAATTTGGTAAAAACGAGGCAATTTTTTTTAGAATAAAAATATATTGAATATCAGGGATAAATGAAGCGGTTTACCTGAGCATGTAATAAACAACAACTTACTTCCTTTAATAAGCAATACTTTCTTCTTTTCTGTCGTTATAATTTTCCGATTAATTTCTACTCAAAAATTTATATCGAATTTTTTACCTATTTGAGAGGAAAACAGCATGTGGGCTCTTGATTCAGACCTATCTTTTATTTATTTTGTTGGCCATCGGCCTTATCATTTCGTTGCCGCCAGGTGCTAAAATAAGCAAATTACGCGAGGAGAGGAATTATCTTTATGGTCTTCTTGTATGAATGATAATCGTGTCTTATTTTTATACCATCGTGGTACGTTCCGATGATTTTGATGCTTATTCTCTCTAATAGATTAATCATTTGGCTTATAACAGTTTCTGTATTCTGTTCCTTGACTGGTTCTTCATTTTTCTCTATTGAAGAATCATCGAAAATGTCGGCATTTTATGCATCCAAACCCCGGTTGCGTCGTGAAGTTTACAGGATCAGAGACATAGGAAAACTCTTGCGTCGACATCACTCTCATCAACCGACGACAGTTTCAAGTGGACCAAGAAACAGTGACACTTCATCCCAGTCTCAGAACGGTGACCCAGCATTGCTATTTGATTCTATCCATACTCTAACCGCCCGTGATCTGCTACAGAACAGTACCGTCTTCATATCTGCAGGAGACCTTTCACGGGCAGCTCGACTTCCCGACCATTCTTTGCTGGCACTCAAATTACAAGATGATACAGTTGAGATTCCGACTACAGCATCGCAAAAAGAATCGCTAGGCACGAGTTATCGTCAATTGGTGCACGGGCCCGGATTTGCATACCTGGGTGGTTTCCAAGTTAATTTAACAGACACAACAACCGCGCGACCAACTACAGAGACCGAGTCATTCGTGTACCCTGGAGGATTTGTACGGTTAACTGAGGTCTCCTCTACTACAAGACGACCGTTGCCGCATGAAAGTCCTTTCTACCGCGTCATTCCTTCCATCAATCAACGAGAATCTGAACAAATCCGGGAAGTTTTCGATGGTCTAATGGAAGGTCAGAGTGCAAGCTCACGTACATGCCCCTGCATAGTTTGCAAGGTCGTTTTGATCTTAAATGCGTGTAAACTTTGCAGTGTTGACCTTAACTACGTGTAGCACTTTGCTGAGTTGACCTTTACTGCGTGTAGCACTTTGTTGTGTTGACCTTAACTGCGTGTAGCACTTTGCTGAGTTGACCTTAACTGCGTGTAGCACTTTGCTGTGTTGACCTTAACTGCGTGTAGCACTTTGCTGTGTTGACCTTAACTGCGTGTAGCACTTTGTTGAAAGCCTCCTCCAGCAGTTTGCTCAATATTAATTATTTTACTTTGTGTAACACTGCGAATTATTTTTTTTTATTTATCACGCTTACGTAATCTTTTTAATGTGGACCACTCTCATGTATTCTATGGACGCTACTTTTTTAGCGCTTCTCTGAATCCTTCAGATAAGCGTATCGCTGCGATGTATTATTCACCTATATTACGTACGTATCACTTTTGCGCCCTTGCTACCAATGCACTACTAACGAATACTAACATTTATTGGCGTATCATGCCCTATCAAATGGATCTTCTTGAGTTTTTTACCCACACTCGAAAGCTTTTATGTAAATAAATATGTATATAAGTTCTCCAGAATTAATTCACTTATTGCACTAAAATATTTTTTATTTTATATATTATACGTGAGCCATAAACGCTTCCATGAATTTTGATCTTATATTGGTTATATATGCTATATAACCACCCGTGTGTCTCACAGTCAACACCAGGCCGTGCGATGCTCACGAAGATTCCTCCGACCTTTCCATTGAAGAAGACAACCTCATATGTTTGATCTTATTATTTAACATTTACATCGCGTTCCTACGATTCAGAAGACAGGCTACTTCCATTAGTGGAAGCAAAACTGTCCCACATAATATAACCTTTAACTGCCCCATGCAATTGCATGAACTTGGTAGTTCGTAAAAACTTCTTTAATTATTTCACAAAAGGTTTTTCACGTTCTATACTTTTTTCTACTAACATTAGCCCTAGTCTTGGTTTGCATGTAACAATTTTATCCGCTGATCATTTATTGAAGTTTACGCCTGTTTTGGACCTTCCCACCACACATAAGACATCTGCATTTTAATGATATCTTCTAATTATTTACACAAATGATATCTGCTTATTAGTCCATTTCTTATCGTTTAGTTGATGACCTCGCATGTTCTTGCCGCGCTACCAAAAGTTTTCGTCATGTAGGGGGGCAAATGTAGCTTGAAAGCTCGTCATGTGAATTGATGACCATATGATAAAGTAATTGTATTATTTCAATAAAAGTTTGTTTTAGATTATAGTTCTTTGCGAAGAATCGGTGTTTTATCCAACAGATTTCTTAAAGAATGTGCATTTATATTATGCTAACTTATTAAACCGTCACCATCCATCACTTGCCTTGCTAACAATTTTTTGCAAATAACTTACATTTAAATCTTGTTAATAAATCATATGCTTTCACTTTAATCGTGTTGATATATCACGAACCCCAACTTAATCATACTGATAAATAACCTTCCCCGCTTGAATCTTATTGATAAACCACGTGCCCCACTTTTAATCTTGTTGATAAATCACCTACCTGCCCTGCTATAAACTCTATTTACTGTAACGTTGTGGAAAATAACCAAAAACTAAATATTTCCTGCCAACAGATCGTGAGTACCGCTGTCTGGGGCGGTGGTCTGAGGGAGGTGTTACTTACACCTACACCCACCGCATCGACGTTGACACTTACGAGTGTTTTGCAGGAGTCGTTGTTAACACCAAAGAAATTTTTATTATCGAGGCTGGCACGAGTTGCTTACGAGGCTTGCAACCTCTCGCACACGGCATGAAGCTCGTGCAAAGAGGTACGTGCTTTTTTGTTTCCTAAGTCAGAAACTCGATAACCCAACTTATGAAATGTACCTTTTTTTCTGCGATGTGCCTGAAATGATTAATCCCATGAATTTCTTTTATTAGTTCAATGCGCATATGGTATGTCGGTACTTTTTATCTACTTTTTGGTTCTTACAGATAACGTGTATGCTGGCAAAGCTGCAACAAAATACAATAATTTCGGTTCAATTAAATAATTTCATATGAGTAATTCATAAAGCATCGCGTCAGGCAGAGTCATAATTTACTCGCTAATAATAACACAACTAACTCGTTCATTAATTAATTTGTAAATGAATAACTTGTGACACTTGTCTAACCTTATAAATAATTTATTATCATGGTCCTGGCAGCAACGTGTAGTGACCTACGAGAGCGAGCCGCCGCCACGTCCACGACGACCACCTCACCCGCCACCGCCACCGCCAGCCCCAACGCCCCGGACAACCGAGAGGCTGAAATGCATCCGTGGTGGCGGGACGCAGCTCGCAATCCCTGGCAAAAGAATCCGCGGATTACAACCGGCCGACCTTACGCGGTAGATCAAAGTGAGTGCCTTGCTTCTTATTTCTTTCTACTCTATTTTTCATTTTAGTTTATGCTTTAATAGGCCATTATGTAGAACAACGTCGTAGACTTCGATAGTGCTGAGGCCTTGTTATTTGAGAGAGACCGAGGTCACAGTCTAAGTCTTAAACGCTTGATCACAGTTGTCCCATATCTTTACTGGGCTGTCAACAACGTTTTAAAAATAAAATTATTGACACTGAATTTCATTGGAGCATGAGCTAAAAAATCAGAAACCATGTTTTGAAAAATTAATTCTTTAATAGCTTTGATGCCGACCTCCGATAACCGTATTCATTATCTCAGCACATGGATTATGAAGGATTTTAATTTTCGCATTTTTCTCCAGGACCGCACCTGAGTTCGGGTCAATCGTTTGTACTGCACTGGTGGTTGTGGTTACCGACGTTGATGATACTAGCGTTCAGCACTTCATAGTCCCAAAAATGTCGCGTTGTTACTAGAGTACCTTATCTGTGCATTATTGTTAGGGCAGTAACATTGTATGAAAATGACTGTCAATTGTGTTCTGTATTTAAATTTGTACCAATTCATTTATGGTATTGCATTGATGTACTAGTGTTTATTATTGAATTTGGCGTGTGTGGTAAATTTTTCTTGCACGGTCGTAACTTTGTTGCAATGGGATTGTTCCTATAAAATTAAAGCGTATGCCGCCCTATGCGTTAATAAAGAAACTGCTAACCGTGAACGACTAAATTATGGCTTTCGTCTTATAGATTATCTCTGTGGAACCTTCTGCCGTCCAGAAAGACCAGAAAGTTGTGCCTTCTTAAGAACGACAGAAGTGGCTGTAATAATCAAAGTTATATTTGTATACATTTTTCTCGTAATAATCAATATAAATTCTTAATTTTTACTCGCGATCTAGAAAAAAATTTTTTACATAGAAAAAAGTAAGATTTTCCTAGCATCTCGCTAAAAATCATTAGAGTTTCAGTCAATATTTTCAGGGTATCCATCTTTGGGGTCAATATTTTTGGGATGGCACGCAAGTTCCTGTCCGTGGTTCGTTCCTAATTATCTATTAATTTAGATTATACGGTGTCGTTGAGTGGCTAATTTCTCGAAAAGAAACACGACTATCGTATATTACGACGCATTAAGCTTCTGCTTAAACCAAATATCTAAAAAGATAGGTTGAATTTGCTTATTGTTTTCCAACGTCGTGTTTATTTCTCATGAATTCTCTCCTTGATGTACACGATAGTTTCCTGCGCACTCATCTCATAGATGAACTGGTCATATTGTTAGCATATCATCTGTTAGCCTATAATTTTAGTGGTTTTCGAGGTATAATTTTTCATCATCGGTTCACCTATGTGCGGTAGAAAATTATCTACGATAGAAATTTTAACGTAACGAGATTTCTATCTTTGAATATAATCGTTTGTTCATCGCAGTTTACTTTATTGATTGAGTTGGATTTTTCGAAAAAAAATTAAAGCGCTTCATACGCCTCCTGTTCTAGTCATGCCACTTTTACCAGAAGTATTGCGCTTCTTTTGGTTACATGTATTTTTTTCCTCTTGTATTCATGATGAATTAAGCACGTCTCTTGGTTGTAATATTAGGTCACATGCACATGTAGCGTCTCTACAATAAGTATTGGCAATTATTAACTTAAATTTCCCACCTTAATTAATGGCATCAGTGTAATGGTAATTCAATCTAGTTAGGTCACTAAGAAATCTACCTCCTTACAATTTTGTTTCGTCTAATGCAGTGCTTATTGTAATAACGAGAAGTTCATGAACTTCAATTTTAAGGTTTAGCGTATTTAATTTAATTCCATAATTTTTCTATTTTGGAATATCCTAATATTTAGCAGGTTTTCAGGGTATTCAAAAAGTCCCAACGAATAGATTTTTTTATTGTCATCCACTATATGGCTGCTGTGGGATCAACGGCGGCGATAGTCACGCTCAATTCCTGTCTATTCTATCCGATAATTGTTGACAATATTTAACTGTATTATACATGCACTGTACATAAAATTATAGTACGTTAATCTGTGATTTCTCTTGTTATATGTCTATTTGTTGTAGATAAATTTGTTATTAAATAAGACTTGAAATCAAAATTTGTGTTCTTCATTATTTCATCATGATATCGTCAATAAGGAACTTCGTCTTTGGAGTAATTGAAGGTAAAGAAGATTCTGACTTAAAATCGTGGTTTCTGATTGAATTATCTTCAGAAATAAGATTGAACGATGTCGAAGCTGTCATTGGGATTAACTTTTCGGGAGCGGTCACATCTTGTTGATCAAAAATTTCGTTTTGTGAGCCCGATATGTTGCATTGCGGAACAATGTTCTTTGGTGCTAAAAAAGAACGAGTAAAACTGAAGGCTTCACCTAACAAATTGGGTCTTGAAACGTAAGAAAGAACGTTAGAGTGATATTGGTGTAAGGCATTCTGACTGCTGTGAGCAACATGATCTAGCCATTCAATGAGCTGCATTTCGTTGCACTCAAGTGTACCTGGACAATCTTTCCGGCTTATCACTTGAATGTTTGGATCCGCGGGCTGAGTTTCTTTTTTCATTTGATTGAATTGTGACTTGAATGTCAACAATTCTTCATCGCGAATTAATATTTCTTCTGTTGAACCTTCTTTCCCGATGGCGATTGAGTTGAATTTGGTTTCCATATTCAGATTTAAAGCTGATTGCAGGTCTTCTTGCTCGGTTGCTGAAGGATGTCCGGTCGAAAATGTACTCTCAAATTTTATTGGCATTTTTTTGTAGTTACTCGGACTGCTTTGGTCGCCATTAGTGGCTTCTCCGGCAATCGTGTTCGGAAGTATTGATTTACTTTCCTGCACAAATTCATTTTGTCTTGTCTGATGTATTCGGCTGGTAACCCCAGGCAAATTTTCCGTAAACTCAAATTTGTTGCTGGTCGCCATGTTGTCCATCATGAAAGCGGGCGGTGGTGGCCTGTGTCTCCTCTTCCGTCGTCGATAGTTGCCGTGTTCGAACATGTCGATGCATGTCGGGTCCATCGCCCAGTAACTACCTTTCCCAGGACTGCCTTTCTCTCTGGGGACCTGTAACCCACGACAAAATTATCCGTTTTTGAAGTCAGCAAAAATTCTGCACTTGAGGGTCCCAATTAATTTCAAAATTTGTTTTTTTATTGCAGTCAAGCGGCATGCAAGTTTAAAATACTTACGGTACTTGAAGTAAGAGTATTTCATACCTGCTCCGTGGAATATAATGTTATTACTGCACACTATAAAATGGAGAATTTGAATTCGTAAGTAATTTCTATGAATTATACAAAAAAATTACCTTAATGAAACAGTCATTGAGGCTGAGATTGTGGCGTATGCTATTCTGCCAGCCTTGCCGATTGTGTCTGTGAGACGACGAAATATTATATGCAATATAATCTATGAAAGAGCTTTATCATCGACACATATTGACCAAATAGAAGGCGTTTCTCAGTCAATCACCTTTTTGGAGATTGTTGGACAACAAGCTTCAACAAATAACGAATGAGAACGTTATGGATAATTAGTTTATGAAACTATGCAATTACAATTCATTAATCAGACCAGAATGTTACGTAATTTATTCCTATTACTTTTATCACAGCAAAATCGACGTCGTTAACAATTACTAACTCTGAACGACTGAAATGTTTGAATGGCATATCAAAATTCTATCTAGAATGTTACCTAAAATATGGTGAATATGGTAAATAACCATCAACTGTACCAAATGAAAAATTTACCTATAATACGGAAAGTTATCCATGATGAAGCTATAGATGCCGGCGAGGGTAGTCTTGCCTTCCCTCGAGCTCCGTATGGCCATGGCGATGAGGGCGATGTATGAATACGGCGGCTTCTGCTCACATGCTAGCACGGAACGTTAATAAGTCATTTGAAAATAATGTATTACACAAAATGTTATATATTCATACTGCACGTACTGTATATATTTATGACGATAAATGTTTAAATAACGGTTAAGAAGTTGTAAAATAATACAGTATTGACGTTCTCACTTGCATCTCGTGATGGTAATATACATTGCAGTGAGGTTATTTCATGCAATTAACAGAGAATAGCGTAATCTCATATGCATTTAATTGACAAGAAAAATGCAATGGCAAATACATCTAAGAAACTTACCTCCCGGACGCTTGAGCGTTTCCTGGGCACTGGAAAGTGCGTTCAAAGAAGCAGTTCCGGTTGACATAAGTGACAGCTGAGCCGGCAGGTTAAAGCCGTTGAGAGCGGCACAACCTCCCAAACACGTGAATGGCCAGCTAGAAAGAGGGGCTCCGTATGTGACGGGTAAGAAGTTGTCAGGAACTAAACTGTTTTGTGCTAAATGCGTTTGAAAACCAGACAATGAAGATGCCGGTAAACCGAATGAGGCGTCCATCGACATACCCGCTGGCGCTATTGGCCAGATGTACGGCGCAACATTTGAATAAAGAAATTGGTTTCTTTCCATGGTGGAATTACCTAATGGTACTTATACCATATATCAGAAGTATTATTCTACTTCCTTGATGCCTCGCCAGGAATCTAATTAAAAATTCGGAAAATCGGTTTCTACTTCCTTCCTTGATGTCTAGCAAGGAATCTAAATAAAAATTCGGAAAATCGGTATTTAAATTTCAGTCCATCATGTGACTTCCTTCGTAAATCTTGTCGAAACATACGACCAAAGACCTAAGGATATTCAGCTTATGACGCTAAGCTGATGTTACCCAAGGGGTGTCAGAAGAGCAACTAGAGGACTCGGTGGTGGGCTGAGACAACATATTTGAAGGGCAGTCTCGCATGTTTGTTTGAAGTGGCGCGAGCTGTAGGTGCATGTTTACACAGAAGACCGGGAGTTGTCGCGCCGATCGTGTGTGGTGTTCAGTAAACCTATACAAACGTATTATTTGCGTACTGCTTACATTTGTTTAATGATTGTTTTTATGGTGGCTGGTATGTCGTGGTCATTCCCGACGCTGCGCGTTTGGACGTGTTGGAAGACAGACCACGTATAGTTACTACAAACATCAAAATCGGCTTGTTTTATCAAATTGGCTTTGGTTCTATTTCTATTCTGATGCATTTTCATAGAAGCAAAGTATTAGTTTTTTGTGTTGAAATGATATTCTTTCAAGTTTTTAACTAATATTACGATAAATGACTATGCAAATGCGTTTATCGATAGCGCCACATAAAGGCTTCGTATTTTTCAAGTCGGTTCTCTATTAAAAAAAACTTTAGAATTCGGATGAATACTCATCGACCAATGAACAAATATTTTAGCTTATGTTCTCTGTCGATTAGCTTTTGAAGATTGAGAGATGAAAGATGTCTAGGCAGTTAAACATCAATATTTTTTTAAATCCAAAGGCTTTTTTAACAAACGAAACTGACCTCATTTCGTGTTGGAGACTTCAATGCTCACGCTTGATTGTTATGTGAGTAGGGGCAACATTCGCTGCACCGACCGTGTTATTTGTGTGAAACATGAACATATCGGCACCTCATTATCTATAGTGTATGATTCTGCCGATGATAACTTATGCTCTACCGCTAACAAACTTAATTTATAGCTCTTATCATTTCTATCCTTAATTCAAACTTTCCAAACGCACAATATTAGACGAAAGATTGAAATAAACTGGTATACGAGACCTGATAAAGGTCGCATTCTATAACCAGAGATGGATGTTTATTATGAAGTCTGATAATAAATAAATGTACGTCAATAATTAAAGTTTAGCATTGGTTTCGTAGAGTTTGTGTTTTAACGGCTGCCACTAACTTCACCAAGACAACTAAAATATATATTTTTTAAATACTACCAACTTCTGCGAAACTTCCTGCAGACGTCACAATTTTCAATAAAATTCTTGTGTTGCCAACAGATGCCTTGAAATGCTTCTAACAAATCATTGCTTATCCGCTGCGATTCTTTGTCGCTGCAAGTTGTTTTTTCTTGGTGGTGGAACAGACGCTCCATTAACTGAGTCAAAGTTTGCTCGTCCCAAACACGATAAGAAGAAAGGTTACAAACAGGGTCTCAAACAAGGTCTTTATGAGGTTGCTGTGTCTTATGAATTCGAAGAAATACACGCAAGTTCCCCCTTTGCTTACATCTAGACGCGGCCTCTCAACTTCCCCGTTCTCAATCACTCGACAAACCATATTTTTTTTATTGCACGAGGCCAATTTTTATCTTTTCAGCGTCACAAAATGTGACATCTTCTCCGCGTAGAAAGATCTCAATATAGCGTTCACTTTCTCGGTGTTCAGTGAAGATGTTAGTAAACGAATGCGTTGTTGACGTCCAGCTCATCACACCAAATTTGTAGTATATCCCAAATCCCCGAAATCCTTTGATGTTAACGTACCTATACGCGCTGCCTGCGAGAGGCATGAATCAACCGTCGTATTATTACTGCCTGCATTTAATGCTTGAAATTACTGATTTCAGTTATTTCACAACACCAAGTTGTTTTTCATGTCTGGTTTTGATTAATTAATCAATTGCTTTCGTTAGGCAATCTTTTCAATTTATTTTCGTTGAATAACGTATTTTATTCTCGGATTGTTTTCCGGGAACGATTTTTTGGAATGATCAACAAGTAATCTTTTATGTTCTAACAAAACGAACAAACAACTATTTCATGCCACTTGTAACTTTCAGACTGTTTACCATAATTTTCATTTCGTATAGGCTCAATTACGTTAAAAATTACGCTCGACGATATTCTCACCGTTTTTTTTGCGACCACTTACGGCCGGAGGGTCGAGTCAATATCACTTATTTATGCTTGACAAACAAGGGCGGGCATCTAAAACATACGCCTCATTACTTGGTGAAATAAATACATGGCCACCCAAGACCACACTCCATTTAAAAATCCTCCGAGTTTCTTGACGCCGGTTAACAGAACCGGCTTCTATTGGATAAGAAACGTTATTCTTTTAAAATAGATACATTTATAACTTATGCTTAACCCGTTTATTGTCTTAAATTTACTAAAGAGAAATACTCGTTTTCCAAAGAATTTTATGCAAACCTTTAGCTGACTTGTTAGCTACCGTCAATGACACTTAAGTCACCCCAACACTTTTTTCGCCAGTCACAAATAGAAACAATCTATTTCATGAGAGAAGCTGAACCACAACTTTCAAGCGATATCGATACAGCTTTGTAATTATAATGCGGTAATGCCACCCTACAAATCGTAGTTCTGATCAATATTAAATGGTTCATACTTACGAGTGGCGAGTTAAATGCAGTATATGCTGAGTTGCGAGTTAAACGCTGTATATGCTGAATTGCGAGTTAAACGCAGTATATGCTGAGTGGCGAGTGAACGCAATATATGCCGAGTGGCGAGTTAAACGCAGTATATGCTGAGTGGCGAGTTAAACGCAGTATATGCTGAGTGGCGAGTAAACGCAGTATATGCTGAGTGGCGAGTTAAACGCAGTATTGGCTGAAAATTGTCCCGGTTTTTATTGCGAACCGGGACAGAGCCTGTTGTCTCGTCTCGTCTCGTCTCGGATTAAAAAAAATACCAAACGCAGGAGTCTAGTATATGCTGATTGGCGAGTTAAACGCAGTATATGCTGAGTGGCGAGTTAAACGCAGTATATGCTGAGTTGCGACTTGTGTGTAATTGAGGGTAAGTCAACTTGACCAGTGAACCGTTTCAGCTTTGAACTCCAAATTCTGCTGTCGGCGCCTATGTTTGTGGCTGTTATAAATCGGCTTGCCGTCAAATTTAAGAGTCTTCTATGCTAATCTCAATTGCGATTTTAACCGTAAATTTAATCTATCCTACGTATATTTGATAACGTTTCTGTGCATGGGTGTTTGATGCCTGGCGTCACAAATACATATGGGCTGTTGGGTGGGGCTCGTAAACGTGATACTTTTCGTGTCAGTGTATTGCTTGGAAATTTCATTTTTAACATTAAAATTTTTTTAACTTTCAAAAATGAAGGTGCGAATCAGATTTACAAATTAAAATTTAATTTTTTCTTCAGCGTGAATTTTATTCATAAAGAACCGTTCATATCCATTGGTTTAAAAACGGGATTTCATCGGGAGTTTCATGCAGAATGCAAGTTCGAACGGGTCTCTTATATTACGGTTATTTAGTTTAAAATTTATATTGTTTTGAGATGATGGGGTTCCGAAGGACGGGATTTGGATTAAAGGATTCTCAAATTTCATGAGTAACCTAGCCTCGGGTAACGCGGGCTAACCTGCTAGATATTCAATAACTTGCATACTTAAACTTGCCGAACTATCGCAGTGAGACAATTCTTTGTCTACATTGATTATAAACCGTTAATTAGATACTCCAACTTTGCAGATATTCTTTCGCGCTAACGTCATCTGCAGCTAAATTTTATAGAATTTATGATTGAAAACTAAACGAAAAATATTGCTAAGTTCTCGATTATTCATTCAATTGGTCATAATAACGTTTTCCGACAGGTTGTCATCTTGTGCTTTGCGTCTGTATTTTTTAGAGAGCCAACACGTGTAGAAAGCAATCTATATTTAGAAAAGGTGATCAGTAACGACGAAGCAATTTATAATTGATTACTCGCCTCTCATGATAAAAAATCTAAGTAGCATCGAGACATTTCCTGCAACTTGCTATGTACTTGTGTACAACCTGTCTCTTATACACATCTAGATGTGTATAAGAGACAGGCTATGTACTTGTGTACAACCGTGCTTCACTTCATGCCTTTGCTATGTACTTGTGTACAACCGTGCTTCACTTCATGCCTTTGCTATGTACTTGTGTACAACCGTGCTTCACTTCATGCCTTTGCTATGTACTTGTGTACAACCGTGCTTCACTTCATGCCTTTCCTATGTACTTGTGTACAACCGTGCTTCACTTCATACCTTTGCTATGTACTTGTGTACAACCGTGCTTCACTTCATGCCTTTCCTATGTACTTGTGTACAACCGTGCTTCACTTCATGCCTGTGCTATGTACTTGTGTACATCCGTGCTTACTTCATGCCTTTCCTATGTACTTGTGTACAACCGTGCTTCACTTCATGCCTTTCCCATGTACTTGAGTACAACCGTGCTTCACTTCATGCCTTTGCTATGTACTTGCGTACAACCATGCTTCACTTCATGCCTTTGCTATGTACTTGGGTACAACCGTGCTTCACTGCTTCACTTCATGCCTTTGCTATGTACTTGGGTACAACCGTGCTTCGCTTCATGCCTTTGCTATGTACTTGGGTACAACCGTGCTTCACTTCATGCCTTTGCTATGTACTTGCGCACAACCGTGCTTCACTTCATGCCTTTGCTATGTACTTAGGTACAACCGTGCTTCACTTCATGCCTGTGCTATGTACTTGCGTACAACCGTGCTTACTTCATGCCTTTGCTATGTACTTGCGTACAACCGTGCTTCACTTCATGCCTGTGCTATGTACTTGCCTGTGCTATGTACTTGCGTACAACCGTGCTTCACTTCATGCCTTTGCTATGTACTTGTGTACAACCGTGCTTCACTTCATGCCTTTCCTATGTACTTGAGTACAACCGTGCTTCACTTCATGCCTTTGCTATGTACTTGGGTACAACCGTGCTTCACTTCATGCCTGTGCTATGTACTTGTGTACAACCGTGCTTCACTTCATGCCTTTGCTATGTACTTGCGTACAACCGTGCTTCACTTCATGCATTTGCTATGTACTTGGGTACAACCGTGCTTCACTTCATGCCTTTGCTATGTACTTGTGTACAACCGTGCTTCACTTCATGCCTTTGCTATGTACTTGCGTACAACCATGCTTTTTTTATTCATGCGTTCGTGTAAACTGTGCCTTACTTATCGCCTTGAAAACAATTTTCCTATTCATGCCCAATTTCCCAACTTGCTCACTATGATTGCTATCCACACTCTTCACCCTATCCAGAAGATTATTTAAACAACTTACCTATTGCGTTTAACGGGACTAAAATGTCGTACTAAATTTCCGTCAGTTTTAGGTATTGAACGAAGAACCTGCATCTGAGATAAAATTATCGACAAATGGGGAAATAAGTAACAATGCATACTAAGTGGCATCAAAATATTACGTGTTAATGTAGTGCAAATGTGTCGGTTATTGCCCAAGGGCCCGGATATAAATAAAACACCATTAGATACGATGTTAATAAATCATGTTCAAACGTGTTGAAAAAAAATCTAAAAACACTTTTATTCGGTTCAAGATGAAATTCATTCTAAATGATACAGCATTTCAGAAATTTCAGTAAATTTAGAACATCGACCTCTTAATAAACCGAATTCGTGAAAACTAGCAATCATGATATTTTCCTCCAAGATAAGATCAACCAAACGTAATAATGCAATAGCATTCATTTAATGATCTCTAAACAAAAAGGTTTCTTAGAAGACCGCCAGAATTCAGCTAAACGTAAACAGTCATCATTTATATATTTATATATACACTATATATTCAATATATATATATAATTATACAAATACATTTGTATACATATATACAATTCTGCGACTTGAGCTACAGAAACAGATCGTATAAGTCCATGTTGGATTATTTAAAGGATATTATATTCATTATTATAATTTAATAATTTCAATAAGTTTCACGTTTAATATCATTCCTTCTCTCGCGTGGACAACTCATTTGTCTTACTTAGTCATTCAAACCTTACAATCAGATCTTACATAGTTTTCAACAAAATCCGAACTCGAGGTTTGCTGCAAATTACCCTAAAATCTTAGCTCTATTTCTTTAATAATCACGAAAGGTAAGGATAATCACAGGTAATTTATTTCCAACAATGCGCTAAGAGTTTTGGTGTGGAGCACTAATACTTCACAGCGTCGTGAAGTATTAGTGCTATTTAACAAAGATAATTGCTTAGCTTTAAACCCAAAAACAGAAGCACTTGTCATTAAAAAATGACCTGTCTCGTTTGATGTAAGTACTCTTATTCCAGCTTTTAGGCGGTACATGAAATCGGGATATTATACTAATGTTTTTGATATTAAAAGACTTTTGTGTTTATGAGGCGGCAAGAAAAAAGCTAATTTTTCAATATCTAATAGACTTTCATCCTCGTCGTGCTGTTACCATAGGGTGAGACTCTCATTTTATTTATGCTCGTTACAGATGCATGCATGACGGGCGGTATATAATAGCTACATAGACTTTATTTCACTTAAGTGACAGTATTCCTCTTAATACTCCACGATAAACAATACACAAGCATAAGTTGATCAAATGTGGTTTATCATATGTCGATCAAATGTGTCCGATCATACTTCAATCAAATTATCTAATGCAAGAACATAATGATTACTTTGCGCTGCCTGAAGTTTATCGGTCAGGTCTCTGCACCGCGACCGCAGCAATGAAGTTGTTTATTATAAGGCTATTGTGTCTACGAGGCGGCACGAAAAAAGCTCATTTTTCAATCTACAATAGACTTTCATCCTCTACGTGCTGTTACCATAGGGTCTCACTTTATTCATGTTCGTTACAGATCCATGCATGACGGGCGGTGTAAAATAGCTACATAGAGAGACCATATTTCAATCAAGCGATAGTATTCCTCCTAATACTCCACGATAAACAATACACAAGCATAAGTTGATCAAATGTGGTTGATCATATGTTGACAAATGTGGTTGATCATATGTTGACAAAATGTGCATAATCATATGTTGACAAAATGTGGTTTATCATATGTTGACAAAATGTGGTTTTTCATATGTCGATCAAATGTGTCCGATCATACTTCAATCAAATTATCTAATGCAAGAACATAATGATTACTTTGCGCTGCCTGAAGTTTATCGGTCAGGTCTCTGCACCGCGACCGCAGCAATGAAGTTGTGCTTGGTGAGCGCAGCGTGCAGCAACGTGGCGTCCACACCACACGTCACGCTGTGCACTTCACTCGTCTCTGCTTCTCTGTCGCTGAGAAAAACATACCTATTTATTCGTATTTTAACCAAATAAAAAACTAACAATGATCTGAATAGTAGTTGTATGGTCTATCAGCGCTTCAGATGTCAAGATATTTCGCATCGAAAGTTGAAAATAGCCCTCACCAGCAAGGAAAGAAGGCCTAACTTCGTGAAAATTTCTCGAATCATCTATCAACCACACTGGGATGGGAGCTCTCTCAAGTGCGTTAAATAAATTCAATAGAATCTCTGTTAAATTCAATAGAAAGAACTTCTGATGAGTATAGACATATGTCAGAAGACCCATCAAGGGTCTTCCATAATCTGAATCTGGCAAAAGTTTTCGTAAGAAATCATCGCGTTTATGATTTATTGCTTGTTTGATGCATGGTTTGGCGGTACCTTGTGTCCGCATCGATGGCGATGGTGCGCACTAGTCCGTCCATGGAAGAGATGACGAGGAGCAGCGAGTCCAGCGACCAGCTGAGCGCGACGACGCTCTCGCAGTTGCCGGCTGACGGGCCCGCGTCACTGGTGTTCGGGTAGCTGATGTCAGCAATCACCTTGCCCGCTGACAGATCCCATACAGCCACGCTGCCGTCACAGCTGCCTGACGCCAGCAGGCTGGAAAATAGACACTCGTTTGGACAATTGACGCAATGATCTTTAATACTGCCGAAAATATCATTCGTTATTGCTTATTGGTGCTATCCTTAATTAATATCTTTAATTTTGAAGGAGGAAAGATGCATGGTTCTTAAATTAGATTTCATTGATTCATATACGACAGTCCAAATTGCACAAAAAAAATTGTTCGAGAACATTGAATATATAAAAGAGAGCAATTTATGTGATATTCGAATTGAACAACAATGACGTACCGGCCGTTCGGCGAGAAAGCTAGGCTGGTCACAGGCGCTGTGTGATGCAAGAATATTCTGACGGCGCAAGCATCTGTGATCTGCCACAATCGTACACTGTGGTCCCACGATCCTGTAGCTAAATAACTACAATTCGAGTGGAAGGCAACCGCATTCACTGACGCAGTATGACCAGCAAACACCCGCAGAGGATGCAAGTATTCCAAGTTCCAGAGTCGTGCAGTAAGGTCTGCCGAGCCAGTTGCGACGTGAAGGTCACGAGCTGAGTTCGTGACTCTAAACACAGGATAATTGTGACCGGAGTATTTAGCTACACACTCGCCGTCCGACAAGTTCCACAGCCGCATGTATGTGTCTTCTGAGACGGTTACCAGATGAGAGGACGAGCTAGTAAAATCCATGTCAAAAACTGGCCCTGAATGACCTCTGAGCGATAACACTTCTCCGCCACTAGCTTGTTTACGTGACCGACTGCTGCTTGTTGCTGTACCAGAAGCAGAACTTTCTTCCTTAAAATTACCATCTTTCACGGGCTCATCAATTCTAATTTCGTCACACGAGAGATAAGTCGTCGCTTTATTCTGTTGTGACGTATGTGGCCAGTGGGGAGTCAAAGACCAAACTTTTACTACGCTATCCTCAAAGCCACAAGCTAATATATCAACTTGAGGTGAGATGCTTGCACAGCACACGCCATTGTGGGCATTAAGTACGCTGTATAAAGCAACGGAATAGCCAGGGTGTGGGAGTTGGCGGGTGTTTGAGATGACGGCCTCCACGGCCGCTAGCTGCTCAGCACTGCAGTCCCTAACAGACGTGGAACAAGCGCCCGGTTTTTCCTCCTCTTTCTCTTTATTTTCGCTGAATAGCACAGAAGGAACGAGACCGTCGTCAGCTTCCACGTCTATGTAGCGACTCATAATCTGAATGTAATTAGAACATATAAAAAAAATTATAGAAGCTAAGGGACTACCTATATTCGGGAAGAATCTTCATACCTGGTCCAGTATTTTTCTCTGTAGTCAAAACTATCGAAGTTTAAAGGAGCCCAGCTAGATCAAAGCTCAGATAATTCTTCATTGTTTTTAATGTTGTATGGTGATTACAAAAGACTGAAACAAGAATCAAGCGTCTGAATGGAAGTTTTTATCGCGCGGCGCAGTGTCATTGGCTGTAACTTATTAAGATCTATATTCAACAATAAAATATGAACAATTCAACAAACCTGTAAAAGAGTTGGGTTGTTACCAGAACGCAGATAGCGTAGCAGGTATTGTAAGGTGCTTGAGTCACTCACGTGCACCAGATACTTCCCACTTCTGCAAAACAAGGTCAGAAGTCAAGAACTAATATTGAAACTTAGCACAACATAAATAGATCTAGCAACAATTTATAGATTCTTTCTAGATTAGATTTATAAGTAAAATATGTATTAGTATTTTTTAAATAAAATATCGGAATAAAACGTTGCATGATCAGAAAGCAATTAAATATATACAACATGCCTAATATGCAAGTAATGGCAGTGATGCTAGGTTATGGTTAAAGATAGAGGTAATCCCTCAGTGATGGAGATAATCACTAATTTCCAACAGTAGCTTACAGAATTGAGCACAATTTTAAGATTATTAATAGCAGACTGGCGGTCAGTTAGCAGACCAACTTTTGTTTGTATTTCTGTGTTTTATTACATAATTATATTATCAAACACGGTAGATTTGGCACTTACTTGAGGCAGCGAATTACTGTCTGGCTGGCATCTCCTGTGGTGCTCACAAGCTGTCTCAATGTGAGCTCATACTCACGGTTCACACGAAAAACCTGAGTGATGAGATATTGATGATTAAATTCCTTTATTAACTTATTTCCCTAAATGATTGTTTGATATGATTGATAATCAAAGACCCACTAAATATAATTCTACATATTTTGCTATACTTGGTCCTAATTACATAATATATCACTTGAATATTTTACAAAATACATTCTAAAAATCATTACCGTAGCAGTGACAATTTCAAATAGAATTTCTGAAATATAGTAACCTGGCAGTTTTTGTTAAAGAAATTGCTGGCAGCTGATTTTCCAGATGATGCTCCCAGCTCAAGGTAGATGTGAACAAAGAGAGGGAACAGCAACTGAGACAGCTCCGAGCGGCATGGCTCACTAGCTTCCATCATCCATGCCTTCAATCTGACAACAGAAGAAAAATTCTGCTGAAATGTGACAATTGAAATAAATTAAGTTATCTAAAATTTATCTGAAATTGTTGATGATGTGAAACTAGCATCCCAAATAGCACTAGAAGGAGCTGCAATGTATTCAACTAGACTATTGGCGGAACATTCTATTATACTTTCTCATGACCTTACATTAGCAAAATTATAATTCAAAATAATCAGAGCATAGCATAGGGTGAGGAGCTTTTATAGAGGGCCATATATTTCCAACTAACCACAATGAGGAATTATATACACGTGTTGATGGCCAGACCAAAAGTCTTATCAATGCTAGACACTTGTACATCTGCCCACAATGGTAAGTTAAATCAGATGATTTCTAAGAATAACCAGACTTGGTAATTGAGAAGAAATTCATGACTGCATATAGAGCATTCATGTAATATGCAGGCTTTATGCAAGACTAAAAAATATAACTCAGTACTCACGGCAGTGAGTGACAGAGCGCATTTTCTTGTGCATAAATCAGTTTTCATTGCGATTAGTACAGTGCATTAGAGCTAAAGATGTATCTTTCATACAGGCATGCCCGCTTCTTAAAATTGACAAAAACGTGAAGTCACTTAAAAAATATAACTCAGTACTCACGGCAGTGAGTGACAGAGAGCGCATTTTCTCGTGCATAAATCGGTTTTAATTGCGATTAGTACAGTGCATTAGAGCTAGAGAAGTCGTATCTTTCATACAGGCATGCCCACTTCTTAAAATCGACGAAAACGTGAAGTCACGGACGGACGGGCGGACGGACAGACGAACAGACAGACAGACGGACATGGCGAGCATAATAGTGAATTTTTTCTATAAAGAGAAAATGCGCTAAAAAGAAGGTTTCCAAAGTTTTCAAGACTTCTCTTGTAAAGGAAAAGAAACAGTATAATTGTGTAGCTGTCAAAGCAACACACCTTGCAAACTGATGCTCTATGTGCAGATGACTGGCAGCAGGTGCAGTGTAGCTAAGGCTGTTGGGTGTTGAGGACTCCAGCAGTCCGAGCATTCCAACTTCCCGCTCTGATGCTTCGCTCACACTGCTAAATACCTGCAAATTAAAAAATTGCTCATTACTTTAATATTCCTCATAATTTAATCAATAGAGGCTAACACATTTTTAGTGGTCTTATCTGTATTTCAAAATTGTTACTTTTATGTAACTGGTTATAATTTTGTCAGCATAAATTGCTGCTAATATCATTGAACCTAAAGCTAAACTCCTACCAATTACGACCAGAAATATGGTGGCAAAAAATCTACTTTTTTTTAGCAGTGGAATAAATATATTTATTTATAACAAGGTGAAGGTTACAGTACCTCATTCAAGCTTACCTCATAGTTTCTCTTTTTTAGATATTCACTAAGACTATTTTGAATTTTTTCAACTTTTTCCTTTTTCATTTTACACTTGTTATGTTAAGGAAAGTATATCTAATGATTCAGTATTAGCTACTGTGTTACACTTAAATGTACAAACTGCAAATAAATCAAATTAACAATTTGTATTTAGATATTTCTCAGTTTTCATCTAGAAGCTAAAATGATCATCAGTAGGAAAAAATAATTTCATGGGTGATTTTCAGAGTAGAAGTTAACAGAAAAAATGCACAGATTTCCCTAATTACAACACTTCTTGTTGTTTGTCTGCTACAAATCTTAGGTAATCAATATTGACACACTTCTACCTGTCAATCCAATCGATCTGAAATTTTGCACACTTGTATAAAGTTGGAGACAATGCTTGAATCAATTGATAGAATAAATAATTTAAAATATTTAAATTTGTTCAATATCAAATAAAGATTGTAAAAAAATATATTTTTTAATAATAAAGAAAAATGTAAAAAATAATTTTTTTAATATAAAAGCAAAATGAAAAAATAATTTATTTCAAATATTTGAAAATAAAATAAGAAATTCATTGTACATGTGTAATATTGGAGACACTGGCTTCTTTAGAAGTGTTGTCTTAAAAAAGTAATTTTTAAAAGCATATTAACTATTTTTCTTTAAGAAATTGGTCAAGGGCCAAAGGAAAAGGTGAAATTAACCACAATCATTGGTGTTTTTGTCATTTGTCAAGCATTAATGGTAACAAGTGGCTTCTGCCTTTTGCTTTTAGTGCTTTATTTGTCAACTTGGAATGCAGTGAATTAGCAAACATCAACAAATCATTGGTAGCACATTAGCATCAAACCTATGTCATCAGAAGATTTTGCCAGCATTCCACACTCAGGAAGATTTCGGTTTTTGGGAAATATTCCGCACAAAATGGGCTTCCTGAAATCACTGAACCATAAAGTTAGCACAGGGCTATCTCAAAACTTTTCCATACAACACAAAACAATTTCAATACTGCGCAGTGCTGCATAGAACCGCACAGTTGCAGGACGAAATGTGCAGATTGGAAAATTAGATTGGAAAATGAAACCATAAATACCTGCACACCTGCTATATACCCTACATCTGTCTGCCTATGGCCAGCACAGTACTGTCAAGTGTCAACACTATTCTCTTTGCCACCTTGGAATATCAAGCAAAAATTTCCTTAAATTACAGGTAAAAAACATCTTTCCAGAGCGATTTTTTAAATTGTGGTTGAAATATGCCATTTTTTACTGAATAATCTAAGAAAAAGACTATAAGATGCTGAGACCAGGTAAAATTTGCCAGATTTACAAGCATTTTTGTTAAAATCACAGTTTGCTTTTGGTCCTAACTTTGCACACAGCACATTGGCTTTTTTAAATGTATTTTTGTTTCTTGACAAAGAATCATTGAGGTTTAGATAATTCTGGTTACAAATTCCTAATAATAGTAGTGACACATTAGGCCAAGAAAAAAGAGGATTTTTGCAACAAAAAGAACAAATATGTAATAAAAATCAACAAAGTTTGCATAGTCATCTGACATCTGTCTTTCCTGATTCATTTGCTAGAAAATATCTTTTCTGGATTCTCAAATCATAAAGTACTATCAAAGCAAAGATCCCATTTGATTTTATCTAGCAATTTATTGAAGGAGAGCTTCATTACATTCAGTGCACTGAAATGACTGAATGATGGAAAATCTGCAGGCGGCCTGCTAATTCTGCTTATCTGCAAATTGCAATGAGATGAGCCAGCTTGTGCCTGATGAGGTAGTGCAGTTGTGACTGTGAGATTAAATTTGTTAACATTTTGGAGTTTCTAAGATCTATTTTATGCTATACGGTACTTATTTTAGTAATCCAATTATTACTTTGTGAATGTAAAATTTTCTGTGTCAAATCCATTTTCATAGACACTAAGCTAGTGTTCTGCCAGTCACAGTTGGTCTTGTTTAGTTGTTGCAATTTGGATTAGTTTCACAGTGGTAAAAGATGGAAAAGACAATGGCATAATTGTTATCAAATAAATTAAAAATGGTTAACTTTCAGAGTTCTGAGAAGATTGAAACAAATAAAAGAAATAATTAGTCATTAATATAAATCAGTTTTGACCGTTTTGTATCCTTGAGCTTGAATTGACTAGTTATTTCATTTACATGTGGAACAGCCTCCCTGATAGCATCTGGCTGCGATCCTGTCTTACCCCATTTGACTATACTTTACTGGTCTACTTCTAGGACTAGGACTCAAAAATGATATTCAGGAAGAGTAAAAAAGTCTGCTTTGACACCATGCCAGGCCATGCCCACAGCAACTGTTTTCATGGCAAACAGCACGATTGTAAACTGAGGTCGTCATCGCGTACGACGGGCATAGTGGCAAAGCAGAGAGTTTTTTAGACTCTCCTTCAAGTTCAATAGGTAATAGCTAGATATATACATCCTGCATAGCATAGCATAGCAATGTAGGCCACATCAGGCCTACACTGCAGCGCCGAGATCACTATGTTATGTAATACAATACCCAGACTCAACAGTAGTGATGTCTGATGTTAGTGTTTAAGTGTTGTTTAGGGTCCAGGACTTCCGACTTTGCACAAACTCAAAGACCAAAGAAGCAGAGGC